TATTATTCCTAAGTCTCATTTTTGCCTTGGGTAATAAGAAGAGTGTGCAAGTGATAAAGCCTCCTATGTGAAAGGTGGTCTTCAGCCAGGTTTTCGTCTTTAGACGTATTTACAAATTTGCCTTTCAGATGAGGGAAGGAGATAAAGCCTCTGCCTGGGCAACAAAGTCTTTTAAGTACAAAAAGCACACAATCTTTTTTGCAGAGACAGTCTCCTCCTATGCTGTGAGAAAGAGAAACTAAGTGAAAGGTGTCAAGCACCATAATTGGTGACACACCAAGTACCTCATTAACAGATGACTTCAGACAGCTGATCCTAAAGTTCATGCCTTTTAACTGCCATAGCTCGCCCTGTTACAGGCATTTAGCATAAACGTAACTCCTAGGGGAGTTGTTTTTTAGAGAGACCTATCTAATGTGATATGGATTTACCTTGCTCATTGTTTTAAACTTATTTAGGCATAAGAGAAGTGTAAGAGAATGGGGAGGAATGGCTGAAGTGAGAACATCCAGCTGGTTCTTGTTACTGGGATACTGCCTTTGAACAGAAAGAATATAAAGGCTGAGGGTTGAGAGTAAATACAGGATTGAGAATGTTTGCTTGCAGGCTATACATGGGACAAAATATGGAGCGTAGAGAAGTGAGGAAGAAGAGAATCTTGAAATTCTTCAGTGCTTCTTTCCTCTTCACTTACTCTACACGTTTGAAGTTCAAAAGTTCCTTGTGCATGTGTATTTTCAACAGGACATGATAGTGCTTTTTAAAAATCCTAACCCCTACCTTTAGAGGATGTTGCTAATATCAGCTATAGTAATGTGTTCTCTTTGAGTAAATATTTTGGGTTTTCCTCAGTATTTCTCTAAAATTCTGTGTTTCCCATGTGGAAAAGTGATTCTTTGTTTTAAATGTTAAGTAGCTTTTTATCGTATGTGTTTTATCATACATTTTTAACAGCGTTAAACTTGACTGCTGATGCTTGCTAATTTGGATTCTGGTTTGCTCCTAGCTTTATTTGTAATCCAATATTTCTAATACATCTTTTATTGCCAAAAAGCTGTTGCATGCTCTAAAATGCTCAGTTAACGTTTAGAGAAAAAAAAATGTATCCTCCCAAACTTTTAATTTGGTTTTCTAATAGACAGAGAATGCACAGCAGTATTTTTGCAGATATTAGATAGAAAAGAATCTGGTTTATGAATATTATACATTTGCTACTAGCAGAATGACTTTAAATACTCTACATCTATATCTTCCATGAACTCCCATTGTGGAGGGATGGTGGACATACCTTGAACTGAAAGGACATCCTACCCAGTTTTCAAAAGAACTTCAACTTTCATATGAGAATAAGAATTTTGCTTGTGTAAATCAGAGCAAAAAAATCAGTTATAAAATCTGTATTACAGATTACTGGTGTGAGAAGATCAGCATAGGATCTGCCTGTCTATCTTAGAATAAGAGGAGGAAAAGGTAATATCTACAACTCAAACAGTAGTATCAGCCACAAGAAGGTGCAGCAAAACAAGTATCAGATGAGCTAATCTCTTCTGAAGTTCTGATCCTACATATGTAAACTGGGCAAAGTTCCCACTGGCTTTTAGGAAACCTGAACATCTTAGCAATTTTTATGTGAAGTTGATCTCCCTAAGATGCCCAGAATTGATGCTGTAGTATTCCTGCTAATACAAATCACCATTATTTCAGTTTGGGATTTTGTTTGTGTCTTCTATACAAATTCCCTACTTGAAAATAAGATACAAAACTTAAAGTGAATTTCTGACCTGAATGAGCCTTTTTAGAGATGCGCCTAAATTTTTAGTGTCATTATGAAAGTTGCTTTTTCTTTGCTGATACTATATAAAAGCTATAGAAAACTGTGTAGGTTGGCTTTCCAGAAAGCAGTTTCTGTCACCAAGAGTCATTGCAAACTTCATGTCTTTGGTTCTGATCCATCAGGTCACTTAGTTAACAGGGGCTTTTTAGTCTGTTTGACAAAATTTCTTAGGAAGACCATGGTAAGTCTTTGAGTGATAATCTACAAGCTCAGGTTTATGGGAATGTGATTTTGTGGAGCAGTAGCAGAGGCTTGAGATGATATAGTGTTTTAAAGGTATTAATGGTATGCCAAATTAAAACAAGATTTTAAAGGGAATCTTAAGAGATAAATTGCACTCTCTGAGATTATGGTTCTTGGCTTGTGGATTTTGAAATTTTCACTTTGGAACTTCAAGATAATTTCTCTTTCTCAGCCCAGAACTAAAGTACTCCCCTTCAACTATCCCTCCTGTATTTACCTGAAGTTTCCCACATTTAAAATAGCGTGAATGCTCCGAGATTTATTGGCCTCTTACTGCTCGTGTTATTTCCTATCTGCAGTGCCTGACATTCACACCAGGGCGCGTTAGCCCCAGCTGTGCAGGATATGGGCTTATATAAGCCAGGCTTGCAAGTGGGGAGCACATTGCCTGGAAGAGGTTGCTGTGTGTGAGTAACTCTGTTTCTCTGCCCCGGAAAGGTGACTGCACCAAACAGGGCTTGCAAAATATTTATGTGAACATGAATATTCTCATATTATAATTAATTCCATATTTTTATGAATTATGAAATGCTTCATTTAAAAACATCCACTAAAGCTAAATGCTTTTACTCTCCAAGAAGTTTGCTGTAGTCAAGTTAAACGGGGGTTTTTTTTTTCTGTTTTTTTTTTCTTTTTGTTTATTAAACTGGTTAACACTGAGGAAGCATAAACTTATTTGTGAATGCTTAAAGAAGTGTTTTGTGAATGTTTAAAGAAGTGATTTATCTTACTGGGCTGTACTCTAATGATGGCAGTACTGTGTTCATCGGGATAAAATTCAAAGGGAAGTAGCAGTCTATTGGGAAGATAATTTGAGAAATGAATCAGTGTGACTCAAAAAGCATGTAGGTGTTAGTGTGACAGCTAGTTTCAGTTCCTATAAGTACCTGTTTTGATAACAAGACTAAGCAGCAAATGAAAATAAAAGTTTTTCAAAGAATTTAAAAGTAAACACCATCTTTATAGAACTCCTTGCAAAGAAAAGGAAGGGCAGTATGTTGGGCCCATTTGCAAAATGATCTCCATCAATGGGATTCTTGTTTTCAGCAGTAATAGCACTGAAAGGCTTTTTGCTATTTAAATGATAGCAGTGATGCATCCAAACCTAGCAGCATATCCTGCGCATTGACAACGGTTAACAGTTTGCTATTTCAGTGTACATTGCCATTTTTACTTTTTTCCACTTAAAAATATTTTCAATATTTTTGCTAACTTGTGTTTTAATTATTTTGCTCATAAATATTTTTTTTGTGAATTATGTGTATTTCCTGTTAAAATGTGATAATTTTTTATTCTGTTTTCGTAATACTGGATTTAGTACAATTCATGACTGGGACGTCTCAGTAATCGAACAGTGTTACTGTATTTAATTGATATATATATAAAAATCTGTGTGTCCTAGTACTCATTCCTTAAATCCGTTCAACAGTTAGACAAAAACAGTACTTATTTAATGTTGCTGTCTATGTACATTGGAGTAATCCTATTATATTTATGTTGTTTTTGATAACAATATTAGAAGGTAATACTTGTTATCATAATGTGATATATGTTACAGCCACAAGAGAAATGAAAATAAGGCTGGAATTTGGTACAAATTTAAGATGTTCAGGGTGGTTTAACTTGGGCAAGTATTAGCTCAGACAAAATGGCTGTAATTCTATTTTAAGCTGATTGTATTTCATTTTCTGACACTTCAATATAAAATGCTTAAAATCCCTTTCATGCGCCTATAATATATTAAAAGTAATTACTTTCCTGGAAGGTAAATGGGCATGTTAATGAGAAAGGATTGGGAAATTTATTACGGTAAGCTATTGCTTGAGTCTGCAGTTCTGCTTGCAGGTCTGTGTGGGAGTTGGAGCCAGTACTCCCGAACAGAGACCTGCTCCAGTGTCGGAAGGAGCTCCTGTTGTCTGGGAGGGAAGCGGAATCCCCAGCGAACTCATTTGCTGTTGAAAGTGCCCTGAGCAGAAGCAGCCTTTAACGTGCATTTACTTCCAGGGCAAAGATCGTGGAGTTGTTGCTCCTCTGGCCGTTACAGGAAGAATCCGATTGCCGTAATCTGGACTTAAATATTATTGCACATTCAATGAAACTCATAGAGCAGACTAGATTCTGCTGTGCTGTGGTGTAATAGAAAGGTAATGGGCTACACAATAGATTAATAAGATTTTGGAGTTGCAAAAGCATTAAATCAGTTTAAATCTACTAGTTAAGCTGCTCAAAACTGTTAATGCCCTCAGCTTGAGAACTGTAGCACGCAAGCGTGGCTGGCCTGGCCTAAACCAGCTGTGAGATCGACTTGTATTCATGTTCCCTTGGCTGCAGCAGGCCAGGAAGTTTTATCTATGGTGAAGTATGAAGAAAAACGGTTAACAAAGCAGCTGCTTCAGTAGCAGGTGTCTGGTTTCCTGCATTTTACACATAGCCAGGGCTCTGATTTTGGGGTGGCTGTGGCTGGCTGGGCGTCCCTGCTGCCCCCGAGCGCAGGCCTCGCTGTGGGCCCGGGCCTGGCCGCGCGCTCCTTCTGCGGGTGCTGCTGGCCGCCTCCACCCGCGCGAGGACCGCGCGGCTTCCCCGGCGCTGGCTGCCCCTCAGAATTGCCTCAGGCCCTGGGTCCCGCGTTGGCTCGGGGTAGCACAGTTGAAACCCCAAGGGAAAAGTGCTGCTACACGGTCTGCTTAGCTGCGCTAAAGGCCTTCTAGTGCCGAGGTGGCATGTCATGTAGAGATTCACTTGACGGTTGCTTACTTCAGTGGCTTTGAAAATGACAATGTTGTTCTTTGTTTGTTTTTTTTTTCTCATTCTTTTTGAACCCCTGTTTTATATGTGTGTGTTTTTTTCCTCTGCCTAGACCTGGTTAACCATTTCTGTGAACAGGTCCTCAATTTTTTACTTTGTCCCTACTTTCCTGTCGTAGCCCCATCTTCCCCTGGTGTCGACTCCGTACCCTTACAGCGCACAGGCAGTCAACACGGCACGCAGAACGCGACCGCGACCTTCCAGAGGGCCAGCTATGCGGCAGGCCCGGCCTCCAATTACGCAGACCCCTACCGACAGCTGCAGTATTGTCCTTCCGTTGAGTCTCCGTACAGCAAATCGGGGCCAGCCATCCCGCCGGAAGGGACCTTGGCTAGGTCACCTTCCATTGATAGCATTCAGAAAGATCCCAGGTGGGTGAAACCTTACTTGTCTACTCTTTCTTGCTCGTGCAAAGGTTTATAATTGCCCTTTCTTTCCACTGTTTTATATCACCAAAAATAAGCGTGTGTATTTTAAGTACGAGATTTTGTTTGCGTAACCATTGTTGTTCTAATGCTTTACCTTAAAAGGCTCTCGTGAGCTTTCTTGTGCAATGAAATGATAGGTGTAATTTGAGTATGTGTGCTTAACCTGCTTTTAGCAGTGTTGCCCCTCAAAATCTTCTGAAAAATAATTTCCTCAGAAAATGAGAGCAGTGGTATGACTGTTTTAACCTTTGAACCATTGTGGATTGAATTTTTGACTTCCTCCTCGGGCAGAAGCTCTAGCAGTTGATAATATGTCTCGAGTTAATACCTATGCTGCATAAAAGAGTACTCTGGTGTTACACATTGAGACTAAGAGAAACGTGGAAGCAGAAGGCAGTTGGGTTTATGCTTCACCTTAGGAGCTGTTCAGGCTTCTCGTGCTAGCACAGGATAGGAGCATGTATTGCAGCTAATTGAATACGTGTGCATTCCAGGTATATAGCACCACATGTCTTCGGAGATGAATATTCTGGTTTCCAGTGCACCTAGGGAAGGTGCAAGGACAAAACTTTATAACCAGGTATACAGGCGGTTTCAAAGGAGAGTTTTCTGGCATATGATTTGGCTTCCACAATGGCTGTAGCCGACATGCTAGGTGTAGTCCTTGGTGTATTTGGTGGTTTTGTTTAATTTTTGGCTGGAAAAAATGTCAGCAGGTGTTCTTTTTTTTTAAAAAAAACTTAAGTTTAAACCCATTGTAAGTGTTAGTTTATACAGAGTTTTCTATGGCAGATGGTGTTTTGTGGGCTTTTTTTGTTTTGGATTTATTTTATTTTTTACATGAAACTTAATGATGGGACAAGTTTTTGTGTTCACCTAACAAAAATGCTGAAAATATTTAAGCAGCAAAAGGAAAAGACTCCTCCCTGCATTCACAATCTGATCTATTTATATTCCAGAATATAAATGTTCTTGGAGAAAAAGAGCTTTGCTTTGTCATTAAATTGTTTTCAATTCTTAGGCCTGAATTAAACTAGAGGAAGAATGGCTGTAATCCATAAGAACAGTCCTTAGGAAAAGTATATTGATTATAGTATCCATGAAATGCCTAAAATATGTTGGACATATCTTTTTTGGAAGGGGCCATCTCTGTTTTAGCTGATTTGCTATCATTCTGAATGTTCATCAGTGACTGCTTACAACATGTGTTTGTAAAATGTGAGGGATTTTTTTCAAATAGTTTTTTTGGTCTGTTGGTTTTCGGTTCTTTCTCTCCATGCAGTGTTGTTTGTGCAGGAGAGTGTCTTACATGCAGTTTAGGTGCATTGATTTCTGTAGGTAAAAAGAGAGAGTGCAGATGCAAATATAAGTTGAAGTCAGTAAACTCCCTCTTTAGAGGGAATCATTAAATAACCTTTTTATTATTATTAGTCATAATTATTATGATTGATTCGGGATTTTTAACTAAATATTTTTGTAATAGAGGTTTGTAATCGACTGGAATATGTTTCTGCCAACTTCATTTTCGTTTATTTATCCATGGACTATGCTGCCTAACTGCTTAATGTTGCTGCGCCCACTTGCTGGTGGGGGATGACTCTTATGAAGGGATGTCAGGGGCACTACTGACGTGTTCCTGCTAGGCAGAATGCCTGGGAGCTGTCCCTGCAACGTAGCGCTTGCTGACCATTCAGGTATTAGAAAGATGCTGAAAAACTGGAAGGAGAAGAGGGAAAAGCAATAAAAGCAGTTGGGAGACTTCCAACATATTGATTTTTATGGAAAGACTGAAAGAGCTATGGGTAAATGACAAATGGGGGAAAGACAGACAGAGGACTTTACAGATGCTTGAAGAAGCAATAAAGGAAGGAAGGAAATTATTTAGCGTAGGGCATGCAAGTATAATTAGAAGTAGTGACTTTAATTAGGAAAAGGAAACGTGGTGCCAAATGTAAGACAAACTTTCAGTAGCTGTGTTATCCCACTGAGCAGCAGTCTGCAGCTTAGGCTGAAGCCTTAGACAACAAGAACAAATAAACGTAATGGTCAGTGGATCAATTTGGGCAATTTATAAATCTTGAGTTTCTTTACAGAGCAATTACTACTTAAAAAAAAAAAAAAAAAGGGGAAAAGAAAGAAGGAAGGAAATGACCTGTGTAATGGATAGATGGGAAACACAGGTAGGCACCAAGTCTACCTGGCCAGTCAGAAGTCCAGCAGAGAAGGTTCACTGGAAAACATCATGTTGCAGTATATACTAAGAGCAGACTTTGCATTGGGATGCAGTACATGCCAGCTAATTCAGGAAGAAAAATAGATGCCGTAGGAGAATGTACATATCATAATAAACAATTAGAGTTTCTGATATGTATTTTTTTTGAATCTTCAGTTCTGATGAGATTTCTATCTGAAAACTAAGACACTCTTTAACTGATATTTTTTTCCACTGTTTTCTCTGTAGTTTGGGTTACTAATACCGCAGTTTTGCATATGTGTTCAGAGCTGATATTTGGCAAAATACATTTTAGCTCAGCATCTGTTCTCCATCATGCAACTCTTATAAAATAGTTTCATGTTCACTGGTAAAAGGATAGGGCCCAATCTATTTTTGAAAAGTATCTGTGTTGATTAGCAAGTTTGGGGTAATTAATAATTTACATTTTATACAGCTAGACTCTGATATATACTGATAAAACAAAGATAGCAAATACTAGATATATTTATAATGGTCAAAAATCTGTTTTGTGTTATTTATATATATTAGATATGACATGTTCTATATTTTTATATATAAGTAATAAAACTGATATGGAAAATGGTGAAGTTGAATATGAAAGATGCAGATTGCTGTTTTGGGCATGTTTATATGTGTTGGTCATGTCGAAAAGGAGATCAAGTATTCTTTGGGATGTGTTATAAACTGTTTCATGACATAATATTTCATACGGAAAGATGCCAGAGATAGTGGGCCAAATGTCTTAGTATTTGTGTTCTAATTGTCATCTTGCTTTTGGTTCTCTTGGACTGTGAATGCAGAAATTCACAGGATTCAGAAGCTGGCATGAGATGTTGGGAGATGGCAGAGAGGATGAGGGCGAAAGATGGAAGAGGATGGTGGCCAATAGCTTGTGTTGGCACTGGCTCATGAAGCGTAACAGCTTACAGGGCAAAGCATCGTCCCACGCTTCTGCCCTTTAGAGTAGGGGAAGGTGCAGTAAAGAGTGTTTTCACTGTGTCTTTTCTTTCAAAGAACTGGAAATATATGTTCATTTGGTATTTTCTGCCTTACTTTCATTTAAGATATATTAATTTATCTCGTAGCGCTAATAAATTATTTGAGGTTCGGCCATTTGTAGAATTTTGGGCAACTGGGCAGTCCCAGAAATAGAAATGTCAGTATCCAATTATCAGCCTGCGTGCCTGCCAATTTCTCCTCCAAAATACAAGACTGAAAAATGTGTGTGTGGTCTTTAGTTATTGAGGCTTTGTACCACTAAGAAACCATGAGCGTGAACCATTGCTGATGAATAATGCTCTTGCATAAGAAGAGAAAAATAAGAAGTGAAAAATCATTGTTTACATCTTCCAGCTAAATACATATTAATAAAGTTTCACAGTAGCAGTGGTTTTGCTTGTTTATACTCCCCCTGTCTGGTTTGATGGGAGGAGTTGGCATATTTCTTTCATTGTTTTGTGACATTTTCTCAGTGTTGTGTTTTTAAAGGATTTTATGCGCGCACGTTTTTTCATGGAAAGAAGCTGTCAGGGAGCTAAATAACCAGCAAGAATTATGTGAAAAACGCTCAGCTAAAGCTATCAAAATGAAGTTCAGAGTTCAAATGTCCATTTAATATTGTAATAAATTACACTTATGTCTATTTACAGTTTTCCTTTATGAGATTTTCTCTCTCAAGATATGTGCTTTAAAACCTTTTTATTATTTATTCAAAAGTAGTAGAACTCAGTGACTGCAGATATAAATGATGCATTTTCTTTTTATATAACAGAGAGATGAAAAAGACTTTTTCTTCCTTTCTTTATTAAAAAAATAACACTAGCAATAGAGTGGTGTTGCAGCTACACATAAGGAGAAAAAAAATAAATGCAGGTGTCTGGTAGTGATTCTTCCATTTATAACTGTCAGGTACAAGTCAACATAGTCACAGAGTGTTCCAGATGCTGCTTGGTTCAGCTTGAATAGGCAGAGACGTTTCTGCGCAGGCCTTTCCTTTCAGAGTCTGCATTTTATTTTCTTACCTCTGCTGGGGTTAATTTCTTACTAAGCAGAGGTTGAGGGCTCTGGCTACCTTCCTTCTAGACCTTTAGGTAAGCATTTTTTTTCTAGTTATGAAAAAGGAATACTTTGGATCATTGTGTATGGACTATAAATTTCAGAACTCATTTTGCATTGTATTTTTAAAAAAGAAAAAAATGTTGAATTTTCAGAATGCAAACTAGAAACCTTGAAAGGGAACTAAGTAAAATAAATTCTTGTCAACTTCTCTGTTCCGGAAAAACTTCCGGCAAGATTCATGCACGTATTTTGAAGCACAGCCTGTGAACATTTCCCACGTATTTAATCTCGCTTTATTCCAAGAATTGTCCAAGTGTTAATAGCTCTTGTAAATGTGAATAGCAGGCAGGCGGTAAAGCAGTGCTAATGAGATAGCAGCGGTGTAACCCTGCGCAGAGGAGGTTGGAGGCCGTCACGAAGGTGTCACCCGGCTCCGGCGGGAAGGGCTGTCCCCTGCAGCCAGGCCCAGGACGCCAGCCTGTCCGGGCCTCGCTGCTGGGCATCCATCCGGCTGCTCGCTGCAGTGCTGCCGCTCCCGCATCCTGCACTAAACCCTTTCCTCCGCACTGTCCGCCAGTCTCTCCGGCACTGAATTATTTATATGAAGGTAAAGCAGCGTGGGGGGAGAGGGAGGGAGCCCAGCTCCTAA